TGTGTGTGTGTGTGTGTGTGTGAGATAGCTCTCTTTGGAGAGGGACCTGCCTGCGGATGCTGTTTATTGGGACTGTGCTGCGTCTGCATGGCCAGAGTTTACTCAGGTAAACATGGAAATTCATACACCTTAGTCTAACAAATTACCACCATAATCACTGTGGTTCATATGGGAGGGGTGTGGTGCACTTACACCGTTTGCCAGGAAATGCAAACAATCATATGAATGAGACTGTTGTGATAAACCCTGCACACACAGCAAATGAGCTGTGTGTGCAAATGAGCAAATTCGACCCACTTCGAATCACCTTGCAGCTTCACACTGTTACATATGTAACAGTGTGTAGTTAGTTCTTGGGGTTGCTTTGTTCCCAGATTACAAGTGTTCCTTCTAATTCCTCTTTTCAGAGACTTCCGAGTATTGACACAGCGTACAATCCTGAGGTGAGTAAACACCAGGCAGTTTACTTAAGAATCTCATATCTGGACTTTTTACGCAACCTTTGGCCCTCTAAACATAAAGCATGACTTGGTTATCTCCTAAAATCAAAGTGCAACTGGATAACACTTCAAACAAGTCCCATTCACAGTTCACTAAATTTGAACCCAATTCATTCTTTTATTTTCTTAACCATTTTTTCCTCATGTACTGTCCTGAGGGAGCTGGAGCCTCTCGCAGCTGACATTTGAAACCAGTACATGTATTAGCTCAAAAGCTTTACCAAGCAAGTGTGTTAGTTGCAACAAGATTCAGTTTGAGTTAACCAAACCAGCTTTTTTGCTTAGTAAAAGTAATTTGTGTGAAATTTACTAGAAGCTAACTAAGTGTTTGTCTTGTGTGCTTGATGTTTTCATTTCAGCCAGCTAGGCAGATATGCATGGATAAATCCATCTCCTACTATCACCGCATTCCCAACAGGTGAGTGTACAGGTTGGATGAGTAAGTTCACTAGAGCTGCAGAATACCTTACTGGATGGCCATACAATTAGTTCTGTTTTTACAAAGAGCTGACAGATACACAAGCTTAGTATTGTCACAAAAAGCATTGTTTTACTACATTAAAGCAAGCAACACACTGGCCACTTTATGAGGTACACATTGGTAATACCGAGTTTGACCTCTTTTGGCTTCAGAACTACCTTAATTCTCTAGAATGGTGTAGATTCAACAAGGTGCTGCGCACGTTCCTCAGTATTTGGTCCATAGACATGATAGCATCACACAGTTGCTATAGATTTTTCAACTGAACATCAGTGTGTTGGCTCTCTTGTTCCACCACTGTATTTTTTTCATCTTTAGGCATGAAAAGATGAAGAAAAATATTGAAGAAAAAAATCCTGATTGAGGTTGTCATAATTCATGCATGACAGGGTTAAATAACAATAATTACAATGAAACATGTCATACATATATAGTAACATTAAACGACCAGTGGGTGGCAGGGTATGGAGTGACACATCCGTGTCCAATGTAGTGGTTTATGTGCAATTATACCATCAACACTGACACAAATACAAGTAAACTGCCTTTGAAAGGTGTCCACTAGTGACCACTATGCGTGAAAGGGTTAAGGCTTTTGAAGACATTAACCTGTGTTTCTGTGTTGGTGTTTGTGTTGCAGTGGAGCATACAGACCAATAGGAGCAGAGAGCGGAGAGTACTTGTACTGTCCTCCTCAGCGGTGGCTCAATAACTTGCAGGTTAGTTGCACTATTGCACATGGTTTGCTGCTGCCTCTGCCTTTGTATCTTCTGAAACATCAGTTTGTCTGTTCATCGGAGAGATATGTGCATCATGTGTATTCTGTGTAAACTGAGCCTTTTTGCAGTACTTTCAGGACATGTGTTTTTCAGCACTCAGTCACATCCACCTTGAGGCCATACTTTATTGATTGACTTACTTTTTTTCCCCCTCCGCTAGTGTATTGCGTTTAAGCTTATAGTAACAACCTGTTAATTTGGGGGGCGCATTTTCAGTTAGTTTGCAAAACTGTTTTAACAACAAGCAGCGGATCACTTAGAACCAACAGTTAGGAAACCTTTATTCTCACCTCACTGAACTACAGCAAAATTATGGGTATCACTGTTTTGTGCATTAAAGTTCATTAAAGCACACAGCACTCCATAACTCACAGCTATACAAATACTAGCGTTTAACAACTAACAGAGTAACTTTATACTGCTAAATAAAAACCACCCTAAACACACCTCCCTATGGTTAATCATCATCACCGTGACAGTGCACTCGTAGTGTTATACAGTGTGCGTTCTTTTTGTTTTGTGTTTTTAATTCTAGCCCTGTGTGTATTAACATTAAAAAAGGGGGGATTGCTGACAGCAATAAAAAAACCTGGACAGACATACTGGTAGCAGAACAGCATTTTCTACAAGGGAGGAGCTAACTGTAAAATGAGAGAAAATGCAGAGTTTTTAGATAAAGTGTTTTGACCTGTCAATGTGGCGAAGGCATCCTGTACCTTTAGCAGAAAAACAGTCCCAAAGCATAAAGTTTCCACCTCTGTGCTTGACTGTGGGGATGGTGATCTTTGGCTCAGGATCAAAACTCTTCGCATTTAATAGAGGGAAACTGTCATTTTGTCATGAAGCATTTATAGCCATACCATGAATAACAATAGCAGGACTGGAGTATTTCTTTGTTTTTCGTTCCTCGATCCATCCTTTTCTTATTCCAGGTTAGGGTATTATACATTCATAACTATGGGCAATTTAAAATCACCCATTAACAAAACAAGCATGTTTCAGCATTTACTTATTTAACTTTTTTAATCACAGCAAACATTTTTAATTGTAACAGTATGGAAAATGTGTATAGTTTGTACGGCCCGCACCAAACAGGTGGCCTCTCCTAAAAGGAAGGCAGCCACCATTATTACACCTGTGCCTTCTCTATGGTGACAAGTAAAAATGTGTAGTGGGAAGGTCAGTCACCTACCTGTTTTTGGTTTCTGCTTTAGGAAGGAACGCTTGTAAAATCCGAATACAGTAGATAAAAGCACAGAGGAATCGGGCGTTGACAGTAGAACACACACCTAATTCTTGAGTTACAAATTAGCCTTTATAAGATTCCAAGCTGAAACTCATGTTCATATCAAACTGCAGTCGAGACACGGTGTGTAGTTTTAAGTGCAGCTTAAGAGTAAACCAGGCAAGTGTACCAGCAGTTATTTTCTATGTGTTTGGACCCTTGGTAGGAGGGTTGACACAGACTATGAATTTTCCTTGAAAGTCACAGATTTGGCCTCCTCAGTAATATGCCAGCATATAATGTGGATCACAGCTAGTTCTCAGCTATCGTTCTCCACAGAGAACATCGACCAATAGGAATATTGTTTTTGTTTTTTTTAAAGCAACATTAGAAGGACTAATCAGAAAATGTTATGTTGATACAATGTTTATGTTGTTATAAGCACTTGAGTACATAGATGTTAATTAATCATAGAATGCTGCAGTAATGGTGGATAATGGGGAGATTCTGGTCACACGTGCGGTGTTCTGTGTTTTGTAGCGTGGAGCGGCGGTTTTGCTCTACCATCCGTGTGCACCACCTCGCGAGCGTCAGATCCTGTCCGACTTGGCTCGCTCCTGTCTGCAGTCCTACATCATGACCCCACACCCACAGCTCAATAAACACATGGTAAGAAACACTTTCATCAACCTTTGTTTTCATCAGAATTTGTTGGACTTCTGGGATGTTAAACACGGATGCTTGTTAGATTTAATACCATTTCAGATTGGAACTCAGGATCTCGGAGAGAGACAAGATGCAAAAGCATTGTTTGCTTTAAGAAGACTGTTGAGGGTGTTGTCCTGTCATTGAACTGTCAGTTATTCGTTAAAAAGGGCCTTTTTAAGAGCACTCAGGCAGATGGTCTTGTACTTCATGATAAGTTTTTAGCCTCTGGGAGAAAGGAAATTTACCGAATGTGTTTTCTCTGCTCTGTGCTCAGCCTGTAGCTTTTGTGTCCTGGGGTCGCACCTTGGAGCTGTCCACCGCCGCGTCTTTAGACCTCTGTGATTGGCTGGAGGTCAATCACAGAGGTCAGACTTCAAGAAAAGAGTCTGATGGTGTGACGCAGATGAGGAAGTATGCCCTGCTGCTGACCTGGTCAGCAGAGCGCATTCAGCTAGAACAAACAACAAAAATGAAGGTTAGGAAACATGACTCAGGATTGAGCTAGCTTTGTTGAGTTGTGTGATGTTTTTTAACGTACAGACTAGTAAATAAATGAGTAATTTCAGTTGTCTGATATAACTAACATTGCAGGATTCCCTGAGGCAGTGTTGTGAGCGGACCATCTATTCTCTGTTAAGCGGAGCTACAGAGGCTGAGCTAGAGCACAGCGTGAAGACCGAACGCTCAAAACAAACAAAAGTGGGAAGCAAAACCAGGCAGATGAGAGCTGCCCTGAAAGTTGTTGACAGCAATGAGAGCAATAACACTATGGCAAATGTCTCCAGAACTGTTCCTCAGCGGTCAGGAGATGGTCAGAATAACAGCAGCACGTTTGGATCATCAGCAGATCAGAGGAAACCCTTTGATCTTTCTAGCTCCAGAGAAGCTCTTCAGGTTCCAACTCAAGCCTCTAAACCCAGGCTCACAGCTCCCTTGGCCTTAAATATCTCTGAGACAGAAGCTCAGAAAGGCCTCAGAAAACTGAACCACTCTCCTATTTCTGCACATGGTGTGAGCAGTAAACGCACCTTTACCGACAGGCCTGAAGCCCTGATTCTCAAGGAAACAGACTCTATTAAACACAATACCAAAGTGGACAAGTCTAAAGAGAAAATCTTCGACTCATCCGACGGCAACATGGAGGATAATGAAGTGGTAGATGTAAAGGAGAGAGAGCTGGAGCATACGCAGATCCAATGCGCCCCAGGATCTCACCAAAAAAGTGAAAGCACTGGCTCCGACTCTGTGCCTAAACCCCAGTCAGAGGCTCAGGCACAACAGCATCCACAGACAGCCAGCCACAGCCAGCCTATCAGCCGTGACTGCAACAGCTGCGCACCAGGTGAACACTGTGCCTGTGTCAAGGCCTCGGGATCAGAGGCCCAAGCTGCTGCTGCTGCTGTTGTATATAGAGAGCTGCAAAGGACCCCGAGGACGGACGAAGCGGCGTGGGCAGCAGCGGCACTAGGCTTCCTGCTGGTTCTCCTGACTCTGTCAGTGCTTCACACTCGCCTGTACCGCCACTGGAGGATCACGCCGAGCCTTTACTGGCACAACCCAAGCGACGACTACGACAGCGTTGCAGGTAACGTCATCGGGGATGAAGAATAGAGCTGTTATGCCCTAATTAAATTAGAATTTCTCTGAAAGATACACATTCTCTTTTAGGTGGAGCTTACAAGCCAAGCTTATTCCTGTTATGTTTTTTCTTCCAGATGTGATCCGCAGAAGGTTGCGAATTGCAAAGAGAAGGCGGAAAAGGGGCAGAAGGCAAGAATGCGTTCTCCTGCCGAGCTCCTCCAGCTCAGATGAATGTCTGTAGAACTGAAAGAAACACCCCCAACACTGTTTGGGAAGAGGGGACCTGAAGGAAAAGAAAAAGGGTGTGTTATGTATGTTGGACTCGTCTTACATGTAGCTGTCTTACACCTACGGTGTGCAGTTTATCTGAGAGAACCTAAATGTTGTAAATTACACACACTATAACAGCCCTACAACCACAATGAACAGGCTCATAGGAATTTGACAGAGGACCCACCATGTCATATTTTTAACATGTGAATATTTTTTTAATTGAAAGGACAAAAATGTTTTATCCAAAAGAACGGTTAACTTATAACCAGCCATTCCCCAAATAGTTCCCGAAACTCTTAAGCTTTAAAAATGTTTTCATAATTAGTTTTACAGAAATGTTTTTTAACTGTAAAGGTTTGATATGCGAAATGTAAGTTGCTGTTGTAAGCAACGCTATGTTTGTGTTGTCATACAAACATGTGAATAGCTGCATTCTGGAGATGTGATTGTGTGATTTGTAAAGAGTGAGTCTACAGGTACTTTGATTAAAATTAAAACTGTAAAGTTAGAACATCCAGATCAGTAATGGATGTGTGTGGGGGGGGGAAACAAAATGATCCGGTCTTTTTGAAGGAGGAGGAGAAGAGAACGTGAGTTGAACTGTGATGATCCAGAGCACAATGGAAGGCAGAGTGAAAAGTTTTTGCTGAATGATCTCAAATGTACTTTTGCAGTAAGAAAAAGAAATGCAGGCAAACCCTGGACAATTAAATTGTTTTATTATTTTATTACAAATGTACAGCTTATGAGTTTCCATTACGATTGACCTTTTTAAGTCGTTGTTTTCCCTACTTTACAGTTCTTAATTGTCTTCTGTTAAAAGATAACTCTCCCATCTCCCAAACTGTCGAGCTGTGAAGACACACAGGAATGCGACAGCACAGGCTACAGTGCACTGTCACGGCTGAGAATCTGATGTGTGTGTGTGCATGCGTGTGTGTGTGTGTGTTAAAGTCTGGCTGAAGAGTCAATGTTTGTACCTGTGCATGGCTTGGTCCAACCGATAAGGGTGAGTGTCTGATGTTGTCTATGTGCTAAATTCTGAACAGAATGAAGGCATATAAAGTCTGCAAAGTGTGACAAAACTGACACAAGCATTAAACATTCACACTAGAGGCACCCTATGTAGTGTCCACTAACTCAGAGGAGGACTGGGCCATGTGCGTTTTTAAGACCCCCCCCCCCCCTCCTCGTGATCTTTTGAGATGACTGTAGTGTTAAGCCCAAGTGTGCTTCAGACCATACCCCACCCATATTTCCATATGCCAACTCCAATCCTGCACCCAATGTACTTGAGCTAAGACCTTTGGGAGAGTGCAGTAAATACTGCAGATCCTACGTCATCCAGCAGGTGTTTTGAAAAATAGTGCAACTAAGATCAAAGGAGACACGTTGTCATTCCCATCTTCCCATGGATACGAGCAGGATCGTTAATATGTACAATATGACTACATAGTAACACCACACCGTAACCTCAAAACATTAGAACAACTGCAAGTACATCAGGTGCCGAGACTTAAGAGGTGAGCAAGGACTTGGTGAACAGAGGTCATGGCCTGAAGCCCATTTAGGCCAACAAATATATAAATATCTCACAAACAAAAACTACAGCTTAATATAAAATATAGCATGAAAAATATACGTTCATATATATATTTATATATATATATATATGGCTCTAGACTAAAACATGGGCAATCATGATTAAAGGGGACACGTTTTTCTTGCTGGCCCCCTGTGTGTGTTGGTGTGTGTGTGTGTGTGTATAAGTGTGGTAATATTTCTGTTGTATCAGCAGTCAGTACGAGATCACCGCAACTCAGCCAGTCATACAAGAGATGATGATGACGATGTGCAAAGGCATTCAATATTAAACAATGATACATTTCAAGAGTTTTTCAAAGCACAGTCCAAGTTTCCCTCCCATGCAGAGACATGTGTGCAACTATGTCAAAGACTGAGGGGACATGGACTGAAATCCCACGTAGTGATCAGAGTAAAAGATTTAAAAAATATATATATAAACCATAAAATATTGGGGGGGGAGAGAGTGGACAGAAATGATGAGGCATTACCTCAAGGTGTTTGGAGCCGATTTGTCATCTTGTGGGGAAAAACAAAAAGGCAGCAATACAAGACAAACTGAGATGCGACTGTAGTTTGATCCTTCAGTGTTTCAGGTGAGTAACTGAACGCTGAGATTACACAAAAGAGCGAGGTGAGGAAATCTCTCTGTTACTGAGGAAACCAGCTGCGGGAGCACTGGTGAAGGTTTTAGAGTAGAATCCTAACTTTAAAAAAGGAAAAGGGAGAGAGAGAGAAAAAAAAAAAGAGGACAGTCCTCCCAAAAGTTCCCAACGTGTTTACAGATATGACCATTTTTGTTCGGCACAGTACGCGACTGACATAAGTCGGTTGAACTGCACTGAGTTTTGTTCCCAACGCTGTCTGCAGAAAGGCAGATGGCTAAAAAGAGACAACTTCTGTGGCCCAGATCAGCAGGCTGTGACAGAAAACTGCTCGCAGGCTTCCACAGAAGCTTGTCAAACAGTCTCAAGGGTAAAAAAAAACAAACAAAAAAAACAACAACATAATAATACTTGGCAAACTAAATCAAGTGCACCTCAGAATGATATCTGTGATCCTGGTTGCCAGATCTGGTGCTTTTGTTTTTTCTCCACAGGTCTACTTTTAAAGCTCAACTCCCAACACACCAGTGTGTCCGCTTAATGACACTCAACAGTTACCAAGTAAAGCACCCGTGCCACATAAGCACTTTTTGAGGAAGACTGGGGCTTAATCCTCCATGTGGAAACCAGATGTTCTTATTATTCTGCTTGGCACTGCGAAAAAATGATTACGAAGGTGATTCTGAGATGATTCCACTGGCTCTGGTAATGAGGCGAACAGTAAGAGAAATCAAGCGCAAAGAAAGAGAGGGGGAAAAAAAGACAGCTGAGGACATGAAGGAGGAGCAGTTGAGATCCTGGTCCTGTCATAATACACCATGCCTTTGGCAACCGTTCAACACCCCACAGCCATAAGATGTATAAATCACATGAAGGAAAATGTAATAAAATCTCAACTGTCTTTGAAAAGGAGCGCTTGAGAAATGTCGAGGACCTTTTTTTCACAGGCTGATTCGTGTGTTTGTTTGTTTGTGTGCATGTAGACTTAAATCCCAGTAAGAGGTTAACACATACTCCCACCTGTCTCCATATTCAACTAAATGAGACAAGGAAAAAAAACATACATAAAATAAAAAATGACAGTCAGTAAAATTATCAATACAAAGCAAAAACAATAGGCAAGAAAAACAACAACAACAATAAATCACAATTATTCCAGTGTAAGGGTTTTTGTTTCTGTAAGTCAGTAAAAAAAAAAAAAAAAAAAAGTATTTCTGTCAGACCAAACAGACCTGCACATTCAAAAGGCAAAAAAAGGAGAGGAAAGAAAGGAAAACATGCCAGATCATGCTGTGTACCACCAAAAGAAAGGGAAGGTGATGGGTTTAATAAAAAAAAACCAAGGAAAAAAAAAAAGCTGGAGCCCCTCCTGTAAATGCTTACCCCCATGTGGAAGGAAGTGTGGGAATCAGACTGAGTGGGCTGCAGGTCCTTCTCTGCACCGGACGCTCATCCAGCCTGGGACAGCGTGGGGGTGCGGGGTCCCTCTTCTTTAGAGAGAGGAAAGAAGAGGAGGAAGGACAACCCGATTCCTCGTAAGGACGGAGGGACGGCGATGGCGTGGAGGCTGTTCTATCTACTTCTCTCTCGGAGCATACGCTGCCTCCCTCCCGAAGCGGGAGAAGGAGGGACGATGAGTTACAAGTGAGAATAAATAAAGCAGTCTATGACACGTATGCTCGTCACAGTTTGAGCAGTTTATGGTACACATCCCATTCCAACAGTCTGCTAAGGTCCCTGCGGGCTGTGGTTCCCGTGTTGGCTCCTTCCTTTCGTCCTTCCCTACTTTCGCTTCCACGCCTGTGGAATTTTTTTCCATTCACTGTAGTGTTTCTATCATACAAACGTCCTCTGCTTTGCTTCCATCCAAATCCCTTCCTTTCTCTTTTCTCTTCCTCATGTCAGCCTTGCTCCCCCGTCACTTCAATTCCTTACCCTTCATCCTGTAGTGTGATCGTACTCCCCTCCCACCCCCCGCCCCTCCCTCTTTCTCCCTCTCCCGGAAGCCCCCTCCCATCCCACTTTAAACCGCACATGCACTGATCCTCTCTCTTTCTTTTGTTGGGTCACTGTTTCTTCTCACGAGTGGTGATTGTGACCAGTTGCTTGGCAGCCTTGGCGATGTCGTAGGCGCACTGGATGACCTGCTGAGTGAGAAGCTGGTAGTCTACTGCAGGAGCGCCAGGCTCCGAAGGCGCCGCCTTACGGCACTCCACCTGCAGTCGCGAGGCACTGGAAGCCAACAGGCGGAGAGAACAGTGGACTGCATCCAGTGCTGGTCGCTGCAGACAGATGGAAGCAATCAAAAAAGAAAAAAGAAGATGTAGATGTAGATGAGAGACACAGTGTGAGAAATAAAACATAAGGACGGGGCACTTACTTTGGGGAAGAGTGAAGCCATCTCTGTGACAGCAGAGTGGATCTTCTCAGAACACGGCACAAAACTGAAAAGAGAAGTGATTCTTTAACTGAAGAGTCAAATGAGTCAAGAACTGTGCAACAGCACTAATGCAGGTGAGCAGGCGAGGTTCCTGCAACGACTCCTGTGGTAAAGAGGGAGCTGGTGTCCAGGAAGCAAAGTTTATCAAACTGGGAGTTTGAGTGACTCACGTTAAAGGTGGGTAAAAAAAGAAAAGTCACACAGCAAATCTTTCATTTATAAAGAGATTTAAATGGATTTCTTAACACCAGCCGTATTTATCAATAGAAATGTTTAGTGTGCTGTAATTAAATAAAACAAAAGAGTTGAAACTGAGGAGAAACATTGCATTAGCCTCAAACTACAATAACTGCATTCTTTCCTTATTACACCTATCGTCATTGGCCCTTGGTAACCCTGGTGACCGTAAGTATGAGACTGCAAATACAAGCACCCACAACATTCTGAAGAGATTATATTTCTTATGTGGCTTCCTCTAGTAAAAGTTGGAAAATATTGCTAGCTCAGCCTACTGCTGCTGGAGTTAACAACTACATTCTCACTGTGCAGCTGTCGACTATCATTCACATCAGAGTTTACCATTTAAAAATGGAGATGAAGGTGCTGTCTGTGTCTATCAGACATGTGCTGCTTTGCATTAATCTGACGGCACCTGAGCATTTGCGTGCACCCCGCTCATTCTCCTGGAAAAGTCATGAAGGGTAAGCTTAGGTTAGGGGACACAGCACCAGTATAAACTTCATGCAGTCACATGATCTCCTGTGTCTGCTCAGCTCTTTTCTAATTTACGGTAAGACTACTTAAAGTAGCTTTTTGGTGGTTTTGGTGCATTTTCACCATTTCTGACCCAGGGGGAGATTTTATTTAAACCGTTTACAGTTTTTATACATGGTCTTATATTTCCACCCCGAGTATACTCTTGTTTCTGTCCTCTGTCTTTCTTTCACATCTTTGTGATTCGGCCTCTCATAATGTCAACATCAACTGATTGTGAATTGCTATGATCTGATTTGATATTGGGGGGTTTTTCTTATTGAAATCAAGAAAAAAATAAGCATAACATTAGCTTAACTCAATGTCTGACAGGCTGGTTGTAAGACACAATTAGATTTGTAATTTTTATGCATTTTATTTTAAGATGAAAAGGACTGTGCCACCATTTTTTTCACCTACCTGTCGTGTTTGAACTCCTGAGCGGCCCTGAGCAGCTCCTGGATGTTCTTAGTCACCTGCTCAGTCTTCAGTATGACGTCCTCTGTGCAGGGTAAGGTGGGGTCTGGCTCACCCCCCTCCCCACCCTCCTCAGGCTCCCCACGGCCTTCCTCTTCACTGCTGCGGCCCATACTGTATAGGGAAATGCATTACCCGCGCAACAATTAAAACCTCAGATCGAGGACAGTAGGTGACGGTCATGGATGAGCATTTACAGTCCTTATGTGGCATTATGTCAACAGCTTGTGCCCCTCGTTTCTTACTAAAACCTGCTACCTCCACATTTGTGTTATAAGTAATTGAAAACAGTTTCTGTGAATCCATTTAAAAAATAAGATCATTAGAAAAGTAGAAAAGTTGGTTTTAGAAAGCTAGGAAATCTTTTTTTTTTTTAAACTGCAGATTTACATTCAAACACTGACCTTACTGAGGCGTCGTACAGTTGTGTGTTGTCGTAGTCGCTGTCGGTACCACTTCCGTGCTTCTCTGGTTTAGGGACCTGGAAGAAAAGCACAGCAGGAACTAAATAATCACCACACATCATGTCCTGTAAGTATACCTCCTCAATCAAAATTCTAATTTTCATTTGTTTCCATGTAATTGAGATGGTTTCCACTGATGTCCATTAAATGGGACAGATATTACACTACATTTAGTATGTGGGTAATTCTAATGGGATGAGGGATATTCTGTGATTGAATCTCAGGATTAGGGCCAACAGCAACAGACCCATGAGACGCTGGTTTGGATAAAACAATGTAAGCCAATAATCTCAACTTTCTGAA